GACTCTGGAGTCCATGATGGCGTGTTGCCTGAGCGATGAGGTGAAGGAATCCAAGCGGATCAACGCCGAGATCGAGAAGCAGCTGCGGCGGGACAAGCGCGACGCCCGGCGCGAGCTTAAGCTGCTGCTGCTCGGTGAGTGTGACTGACCGGGCCTGGCGGCGCGTCCCTGCACGGGCCCCCGGGTTCTGAGGGGTCAGCTCCTGTCCGTGCTGCCCGGGTCCGGCCCCGAGGCCCTGCGGGGTCAGTCTCTGCCTGTGCTGCCCATGTCAGCCCTGAGGACCCTCCAGGATCAGTCCCTGCCTGTGGTGCCAGGGTCGGACCCCTGGGTCCTGCGGGATAAACCCCTGTCTGTGCTACCCAGGTCGAACCCTAGGGCCCTGCTGAGCCAGCCCCAGCCTGTGCTGTCACTGTTCCCGGGGTTAACACCTGCACTGCCCAGGTTGAGTCCTGAGATTCGTCTGGGGTTAGCCCCTGATTTCTATTGTCTGGACCTCAGGACCCTTCAGAATCTGTCCTCTGCCTCTGCTGGTGGGACAGTCCCCTCCTCGCACAGAGGCTGGCCCTCTGACCTTACTCCACCAAGCGTCCCTCTTTCTCTGTCCCCAGCATGTCTTCAGGGCAGACCTTTGTGCAGTAATCCATGAGACCCACTCACCCCTCACCTTCCAGGGTCTTGCCTTGACTCTTTCTGGCAGGGGTAGCCTTATTCCCTCCATTCAGGGGCTGTTCACCACCAAAGATTCTTCTGTTCCCCATCCCACCCCTATTTTCTCAGGGCCCTTCTCACTTATTCCCTCCCTCTGGGATGGACACCCTTGTGGGGAGAGGACAGTCTTTCCTCCCCTGAGGCCCACATGGGGTTGACGCCTGAGGGAGCCTTTTTGAGTTGTTTGAGTTGGCTGACTCTTCAGCCTTCTCCTGCTCCTTTCCTTAGTGTCTTGTGGGAGCCAGGGTCTAGACCTGCTTGGGAGCAGCCCCTTGCCTCCGGGCTCCTCCTCCTTCTCCTGGAGCAGGTTCTCATGTGAACTTCTGTCTTTCCAAGGCATACCTGTTGCGGGTAGCTGGTTGGCAGAGTGTTGTCAACCCAAATAAGGGCCCCTGCAAGTCGTTTACAAAACAGCAGCTCTGGCCCTGCCCCTCCCCTCCCTTCCTGAGCTCCTGGGTTAGCTCCTGGACCAGGGCAAGGTGGGAAATGAGGTGGAGAGGCCTGGAGGGAAGAAGGGTCTGTTCCAGAAGGGGTGTGTCTGAGGAGAAGGCCGTTTTGGTTGGCCCTTGAGAAGTGGCTGGTCCTCACAGGAAGCAAGCACCCTGTCTCTTTGGCTTGTGACCCTCCTATGGCCCTCCATACCCTGGGTTAGAGAGGTGGCTGAGATGACTCCTGAGGCATTTTTATTTCAAACTTGTGTTCTGATTTAATAACAGGCTCTAAAGTGGGCCGTCTTTCCAGGAAAGACAGTTCGGCAGAGCAGTAACCTTAAAGTTCAAAGGAAACTTGCAGTGGGCCCCAACTGGTGGCATTTGGAGGACAGAGTGGCACTGGCTGGCTTTTGCAGAGCGTTGAAGACTTTATTTTGAGTTGGTGTCATAAATTACCAGATGGCCTTGCCCTGTGACTCTGTGACCTCCTGACCCCTCTACCACCTTTCCTCGACTTCTGTGCCTGCACTTTGGACTTGAGAGTGACACTGGGTTCAAGGACACAGGGATGGGCTCCTACATCTGCTGCCATGGCTTGGGGAAACGCTTTATCTGGTGCCCACCTGTGGCCAAGTGCTATTGGCCATGGCGGTGACAGTACTTGTGTTTGCATAGTCCCACCGCTCCCCCACTGTGTGACCCTAGAAATCTCTCCCTCAGCTTATAAAGTGGGGATTGTGCACTTGTCTTGGGAGGTTGTTGTTAGGTTCAAGGCATGGTCAGGTGAAGGCCTATCAGACCCAAGCAGGACAGGTATAAATGCCATGCAGAGGAGCAGGGACCTGCCCTGGGGTTGAGAGGGCTTCACAGAAGAGATGACTTTGGTCCGAATCCTGAGGCATTGGGAGTCAGGGGACCCTGTGGGAATGCAGTGCAGTAGACCCTCAGAAAACTTCCTATCTGAACAACCCGGATGGAGGACACTTTACTGGGAGGACTTTGACAACCTGAAATCCAGGGGCTGGGGTTCCAGGGGGCAGGAAAGAGGACTTCTGCCCTCATTCCACTTATCCAGTAAGCCAATCTGAGTGTGCGGTTGTCTCCATTTTGCAGGAAGAAAATTGAGTGTGGGACTGAGATTTCTGGCCAGGGAAGCTGCAGCTGGGCTGCAGGGGATGATATATTTGGGTATCTCTGAGTGGAGGCCACAGCATTCCCTGTGCAGGTGGGCCAGCTGAGCTGGGGTTTGGTTTTCTCTGAAACTGTCTTCTTCCCTGCCTCTTAGCAGTGAGGGCTCCAACCCTCTGTGCAAAGTTCTGAGGTGGGCTCTGCTGCTGCCCCCTGGGCATCTGGGGCCTGGGAGGGTCTCATTTCTGTGGGTGGTTCTGCCATCTTTGCTTCAGGCTTGGGGATCAGGTGGAGCATGTTCTGGAAAAATGTCTTTTCTGCTTGGTCACATCTACCCTCTGTGTCTCCCTGGGGCAGTCTGTGAGGTTGGTTAGCCCGGTGGGCATTTTTAATGACCCTTATGAGGGGTGCAGGGAGTGGTCTGAGGAGGTACTTGAGCTGGACATGGTCCCCTGGCTCCTGTGCTGCTTTTGCCCCTCTCTGTGAAAGTTTTCTCCTGTTCTCCGGAGTGGGGCATCCTGGGCACTGCAGGGTGCTGAGCAGCATCTTTGACCTTCACTCCAGGCCTACAGCACCCCCTCTGCAGTGTAACAACCATAAATGTCCCCAGATATTGCTCAGTGTTTCCTGAAGTCTAGCTGCCCCACTTGAGAACCCTTGCCACATTGTCCCATATACCATAAGGTGCTTGCTGCAAAGCTGATGGATAATCAGAGTAAATTGCTTTGTCTGAAATTTCTTGAGTGTTTATAGAGTGAATATTTTTGTTTAGATGGCCAAAACTATGTGGTTTTATTCACTATATTATTTCAGGCTTGTCCTTAATGGCATTTTTGTCGATGGTAGTGACAGCTGTCAGTAGGACTGGGAGTGAAGAGCATGTACTATGTGTTTAGTGCCTGTACTGTTCCAGCCTCCATGCTGGGCACATTGCTGCCACCTTCCTGGGGTTTTCTCTGGGCCTTCAGAGCTCTCCCAGGAGGACTCTGAGCCCATCAAGGCTGCAGGCCCAGCTAGGAGCTCTTGGAGTTGTCTCTCACAGTGCAGCTCTGGGCTGTCCTGTTTCTGTCTCAGTAGGAATCCACCGAGGGGAGGCCCTTATCTGTTCCTTAGGGCAGGTTTATGGCTAGAAACTCTAGGGCTTCCCAGGGAATGCCTGTTGCTGGAGACTGAGGCTGCTAGCAAGGCTGAGCTGGAGTAGCTCTGGGCTTTCTAAATAAAGCAGGGTGGTTGGTTCCGGAGGCTTCCTGTCCGGCCTGTGCCGGCCTCACAGGGCAGTGACACGCTGGGCTCCGGCGTGGGGTGTGGTGGCCCCACGGGAAGGGCTGGGCGTGCCTCCCAGTGTCAGGAGGCGTGGAGCGTGGCCTCTGGCGCCTGGCAGGGTGGCCGTGCCGTGTCCCAGAAGACTGTGGGAGCAGGAAGCGTCCTTGGATGGCCTCATCCAACCTTGATTCCTTGAGCTAGAATCGGGCTGGGTAGATGTAGCGGCTCAGCCTAGGATTTGTTTATACGTCATTAATGTTTACACTTAATTAATTATTATTAATGTTTTTTGCTGGAAGGGTCTGCTTTCTTAGGGCATAGTCCCTAGAAATGATGCAGACATCTATCAGCAGGAGTGCAGAGTTGTTCTCAGACCTGGCTGTGCCCTTAGTTTCCCTGTCCCAGGAGAATGCTGGGGCACATGTCCACAGGTCCTGGTGCCTTCAGGGCCCAGCACCTGAGCTTATTCCCAGTTTGTGCCGGGATGAACTGAGAACCTCAGTGAGTGCAGTCAACTTTCCCTTCCTGCCACAGTCAGATTTGTCCTTGGGGCTGCATCTCCATGAGCTCTGAGGTCCTCAGAGGTTTCATCCTGCCCAGCCCTGCTGGCATTGTGGTGCATTGGGGAAGGGCTTCCCCTCTGATATTTAACCACAGAAGGTTTCGCTTTTTGATTTTTGTGGTAGAGCCCTTCTCCTTCTGTGAGGAGACACTTGGCAGGATGTCCAGCACTGGGAGCTTAGAGCAGCATGTGGCTAAGTCAGACAGATCTTTTTTTTTTTTTGCAGTTTTTGGCCGGGGCCAGGTTTGAACCCACCACCTCTGGTATATGGGGCTGGCACCCTACTTCTTGAGCCACAGGAACCACCCAGTCAGACAGATCTTGATGAAGCTGGGGCCCTGGCTTTTGGGTTTGCTAATCCCTTCCCTGCAGCCAGGTGAGGTGAGCAAAATCAGGGAACTCATCATCTTCTGGGTCCCCTGCAGGCTCTTGTTTCCCAACTCTGTACTTGGCCTGTGAATTGAGGGCAGTAAGCCTCAGTGGGCTGCCAGCCAGGGTGACCAGGATCCAAGACTGGCTGGATGGTGAGGGCTCTGGGTAGCCTGTGCATAGGATCATAGGATCATTATCTGACAAACACCTAGTTGAACATAGACCAGGGTCCTCACAGTGGGCTGCCCTGCTTGCAAACATGTGTGGCTTCTGTCCTCCAAGGCCTGTCTCTCCTCCCTGGAGGCCTCCCTGCCTTTCCCGCAGCTGCTGTACCTGTCCTCTGTAGGCCCATGTCCCCACGTGAGCACCTCCAGTGATGTCTTTTTGTTGTTTTCGTAGTACTCAGCACATGCTTGGTGCACAGTAGGTGCTCCCTGAGAACCTGCTCTCAGAGAGCTCCTTCCTGGGATCTGGGCTCGACTTGCTGGGGCACCTCAATCAGGATTTCCCAGGGTTGGTGCCCTGGATGTTTGAGGTGGGGTTCTGGAGCGGGGGGGTGGGGGGTGGTGGGCATCCTGAGCACTACAGGGTGCTGAGCAGTGTCCCTGGCCGCTACCCACCTCATGCCAGGGAAACCCTTCCACAGTGTGACAACCAAAGATGTCCTCAAACACTACCAGTGTCCTTTGGAGGCAGAACCACCTCAAAGGTGGACCACTTGAGGACCACTGACTTGTGTCTTGCTTGAGTCCCCTACCCCTCTTGTGGCCATCAGTCAGCTTTGTGTCCTCTGTCCCCTTCCCTACTGCACATGGCACTGAGCCCTGCAGGCCTTAGAGATGTTTGTGGAGTGCCTGTCATTGGCTAGTTGAAGTCAGGCCACCCAGGGAAGTGAAGGGGAATAACCTGGTGTTCCATGACACCCCACAAGCTCCCTAGTGAGGGTCAGGGCTCACTGCTCAGGAGGGCTCTGTTTCTGTGGGCAGGTGGGGCCCCCTGGGATGGTGGCTCCTTCCAGGCTCCTCCTATTTACCTGGGCTATTTATGCCAGCCAGCACAGGGCATGGTGGATGTGCTCTGGAGTGAGACTGTAGGCAGGTCGTTTTGTCTCTCCAAGGCTGATTTCCTCATCTATTGAATAAGAGTGATGCCTCTCCCCTCATAGAGTTGTCAACTGACTGAATGAGATGAGGACAGTACAGCGCTCAGAATGGAGTAGGTGCCTGGCAAGCAAAGAAAGCTGCTTTGTCCTGCTGCTGCTCTTCCTGCTGGCTACTTTGCATGCACATCTTCTCCCTGAAAAACTGCCTGGGCAACCCTGGGTTTCCTTACGGGGACCCCAAGGCTCAGAAGATACCAGGCTGGCAAGGAGGGAAGTCAGGTGTCTGCCATTGGCTCCAGAGGTCGTGCCCTGCACACTATCTGCCTCATAAGCTGTAGTTTTCTGTCAAACGGAATCGACTGTGACTTTTTAGGATTGTGGCAACGGTCATGGGGTGTGTGTGAGACAGAGGTGAAAGCATGTGGCCCTGCCAGGCCTTTGTTGTCATCTTTAGCAGTGACTACCCTGGCAGGCAGAAGCCCCCTCTGCCCCTGAGTGGGACTTACCTGTTCTATGGAGTCTTCAGGGCTCAGCCTGCTGAGAGCTGGCTGTTTTGTCCTTTTTCTGATCCCCAGGGCCTAGTGTGGTGCTTGTGCCTGTGGGTGCTGGATAAACACTGCAGGATGAGTAGACTCCTGAAAGCAGTCCTTCTTCTCTCAGTGCCAGTTTGCTTGGGCCCTCAGTTTTGGAGGCTGGGGTGAAGGGTGACTGGCAGAACCCTTGTTGAAGTTCCCTGGGGTGGCAGGCGTTTGAAAGAGAGGCAGATTTGGGTGCCCTGGCTCACTCTCCCTATAGGCCATGTTACCCCAACCTAGTGGGCAACAGTCATTGAGCTGGGTGGGCAGGCCCATCAGTGTCCCTCAGGCGGATACCTATTTGCCTGGGTTAGACCATGGGGCTGGGCAGGGATGAGGACTCACACTAGCTCTCCTCAGCTCTCAGGGGGTTTTACTTCAGGAAGGGTTATGGTAAGACTCCAGCATGTGGAGACAAGGGCTTGAAAACGTGTCATATGGGCTTGATGCCTGTAGCTCAGTGGTTAGGGCACCCAGCCACAGTTACAGGGGCTGGTGGGTTGGAACCTGGCCTGGGCCTGCTAAAAACAACAATGACAACTACAACAAAAAAAAAAATAACGACGTATTGTGGCGGGTCCCTAAAGTCCCAGCTACTTAGGAGGCTGAGGCAAGAGAATCACTTAAGCCCAAGAGTTTGAGGTTGCTGTGAGCTGTGGCAACATAGTGAGACTCTGTCTTAAAAAAAAAAAAAAAGTGTCAAATGAATGACACCAACCTAATCCTGTGAGGACGCCATTCCTACCTTGGAGTCAGTCTGTATAGAGACCTAATATATGACAAGGCAGTGCAGCCTTGTGGTGACAGAGAGGCAGTTAGTGCCTGTACCTTTGAGGCACCCGAGGACAGGCGCCAGCTCCCACGGCAGACTTTGCCACTGGCATGGAGATAAGATTATGATATTGAGTCCAGAGGCCATCTTATCCCTGCCCTAGCTTTCGTGACCCCCACAGAGCAGTGTGTTTTGGGGCAGTGAGTTTCAGGCCTCTTTCTTGTGCCTCATAGTTGAGTGTCCACAGGTGCATTTCCTCTCTTGGGGCTGAAGCTGGGTGAGAAGTGTTTCTCCCAACTGCCTGTACTCTCACTTTGCTGTGTGGGGGAAATGGGAGTCCTGGGCTGGCAGCAGAGGCTGTGAAACCAGCCTCTGTTCAGCCTTAGCAGTTAGTGCCTGTGTGACCTCATGAAGACTCCTTGACCTCTCTGTGCCTGTTTTTACCAAGCAAACAGGTGCTGTAGTGGTTTTTACCTCCTGGGGTTCTGAGAACAAAGCAGTATTGGGGCCAGGCCATGTGTGAAGCTGGACCAGGCATGGGCCTCACACCTTTTGTCCTCAGCTGCAAGAGGGCTGCCTGTCTGCACAGCTTGTGGTCAGCATTGTCTCCAAGCTGTGTTTCCAGAAGCTGAGGTCACACACACATGCATATGTGTAGCCTACTACCAGCCCACCTTCTCACTTTACTGAGGTTCCATCAGCAAAGTCTTGAGGGTGGGGCCAAGTGGTTTTGGCCAGCCGCCAGGGTGTGTTCCTGGGCCTCCCACATCTCATAGTCACAGACACTGCAGCCAAGACACTGCTTGGAACCCAGGGCTTGTGGACCCAAAACTCACATTCTGGTCCTGGATCTTGTCCCCACTCTGCCTCCAAGTACACAGGCACCTTGAATCTCAACAGTATCAAACAAGCCCTGTTTATTCGTGCCCTCCAGTCTTGTCCCTCATGGGACATGAGCCACCTTTCCTTTCCTTCACCTTGCCCACATTTGGGGGATGTTTTCCAGGAGCTAGGGTATAGCTGGAATTCTTCCCAGTTGAGCTTTCTTAGCCAACTGGCTTAGATGGGACAGTGGTTTTCTCATTCTCAGCCAGGGCTTTCATTTCCCTTGTCTGGGAGTTTGTCCATTAGCAGGAGCAGTGTTCGGACTGGGGCCTTCCCAGTGGTGATATTCTGAGCCTGCCAAGGGTTTGCATCCTGTGGCTCCAGCCCAGCCATACTGTGTTCTCCTGGACCCTGCCATGCCCTGCAGTGTGCATAGTGGTTGCAGGGGCCAGCCACCTTGTTCGTGGTTGTGTGGGGACCTCCTTCTCCTGGCTGCCCAGGGCTTAGAGGAGCCAAGACTGGTGACAAGAAGGCAAGTCCAGCCTGGTGAACATGGGGAATGCAGGGCTCAAGAGGGAGCCAGCATCTGGTTCAGGAAGTGTCTGCAGTGTTTTCTGTGTGTCAGGCCTGTGTAGGAGTTGGGGATGCAGGCCTATGGGGCAGGTACTGTGCAGACAGATGGGGAGCACCACACCCCATGAGGGGGACAATGTAGTGTCCTTCTTGAGGAGAGACCTGCACAATGTATGTATTGGCTGTTTCCTAAAAACCGGGCATTTAGGTTTCTGTAGCCGGAGTTCCCCGAGTGTTTGCGGAGGGGAGGGCCGATGGGGGTGGTTTCTATTTAACCGTAGAGCAGAGCTGAGTGAGGCACACAGCTGTGGGCGCCCACGGCGACATCTTCCAGAAAGGCTGAGCTCATCAAGCTCCTGAGGCACAGTGGATGGAAATGGACTGGTGTCTCCCTGAGGACCGAAGCTGGGTGAGGCTTCCCGAGATGGGGGACGTCTGAGCCTCTGGGCAGTCTCAGCACTGTGAATGCTGGCATCTGCCACCTCGGGCTAGGCGGGGCAGCTTCGTCATGCCCAGACCTGTCCCTGATCCCTGACCACCACCAGTCTGTCTTCCATGTTCAAAATTTTGGCAGCTGGGACTGCTGTTACAGAACATGGCAGGCTGGGTGGCTCACAGACAGCAGGCGTTTATTTCTCACAGTTCTGAAGGCCGGAAGTCCAAGATTAAGGTGCTGCAGATTTGGTGTCTGGTGAAGGCTGCTTCCTGGTTCCTCAACTGTGCCCTCCCACAGTGTCCTTGTGTGGTGGAAGGGACAGGGAGCCCTCTGGCGCCTTTTTATGAGGGCACTGATTCATTCATAAGGTTCTGACCTAACCTATCACCTCTCCAAGAACCTGCCTCCTAAGGCCACTGCCTTAGAGGTTAGGATTTCAGCATTAGAATTTGGGGGGACAGGCATTCAGACTACAGCAGTTACTCAGAAATGTTCTAACATGGAGCCACCAGGATGGAACCCTTTTGTTTTCCTTGGACGTTGACCAGTGGTGGTGCATGAATCAGTGTTCCATCCTCCCTTACTGCCCGGCAAGAGGGTGTGGCTGTCTCGGTGTGACCCTCAGCTGTTGAAGGGCCTCTGGCTGGTTCTGCCTTTGGCTGTCACAAATGGTGCTTCTCTGATTCTCCTTGTGCAGGTGTGGGGTGGATGTGGGTGTTTGAGGAATTAGTGGGTCCAAGGCGGCCTGTGGGGACCTGGGCAGAGGGTAGGGGCAGGTTGCTGTGGATGAGTCCAGAGTGAGGCTATATCTCAGGGTGTCTCTCACATTGCTTTGAGGGGTGGGCTAGCCTTTCTCCCTGGTGGGAAGCTGGTGACATTTGGAGGTGAGATGTCTTTTAAGGGGAACATGGCTGAAGCCGGATAGGCTGGGTCAGATGGAGATGGGGTGCCTAGGCTTGGGCTCCAGCTGTGCTGGGGGTCAGAGCAGCTAGTTGGGCAGAAGCAAGGCCTCCATTGACCGGAATCCTGGACTGTCGGGCCCCAGGAGTGGGATATGAGGTTCTGGGCAGGACCTAGGTATCCAGAGTCCTGGGTCTGTCATGGGGGGTTGTTGCTGTGTCCAAGCCCCAAGGCAGTAGCAGAGCTAGCTCCAGGAGATAGGGTGATTTCAAAGGAAGGCTGGGCCAGCACATCTGAAAAAACATACCTGTGTCCTAGTTTTAGACTTGGAGACTACCAGAGCCTTGGGGTGGCTGGAGGTGCTCCATGGCTGACCCACGAGCAGTGGGGTCATGGGAAGGTTCTGGGGCTCTCGCTGTACCCTCACTGCACCCTCTACCCCCAGGCACAGGTGAGAGCGGCAAGAGCACCTTCATCAAACAGATGCGGATCATCCATGGCTCGGGCTACTCGGAAGAGGACAAGCGAGGCTTCACCAAGCTGGTCTACCAGAACATCTTCACTGCCATGCAGGCCATGATACGTGCCATGGAAACACTCAAGATCTTGTACAAGTATGAACAGAACAAGGTGAGCCCGTAGGCTTGTGGCCGAGGGCCTGGTGGAGCAGGCAGCCCCAGACTTAGAGCAAATTTTTAGGTTCCTGGCTGCCTGGGCTACCTCTGACTGCTGCCCATTCCCATCATGAGTGTGGAAATTTTAGCAGCTACTGTCTTCTCTGGGTGCCAGATGGCATACGTGATGGGGACTGCTCAGCAAAGCCCCAGGCTGCCCTTTTGTAGCTATGGGTTTCCCCCATCATGCAGGGCTAAGCTGAGGCCTAGTCAGGTGTGCCACCTGCCCACGCTCAGGAGTGAACTCCCTCTGCCCTCTCTGTGGGCCCAGCATACTTCCTACACTGGGGTTGACCCTCACTGGGACCCCATGGGGTTGGTGCTTCTTTTCCTGCTTTTTTTTTTTTTTTTGAGACAGAACCTCAAGCTGTCCCCCTGGGTAGAGTGCTGTGGCATTGCAGCTCACAGCAACCTCCAACGCCTGGACTCAAGTGAGTCTCCTGCCTCCGCCTCCCAAGTAGCTGGGATCACAGGCACCCACTACAATGCCTGGCTATTTTTTGGTTGCAGCCATCATTGTTGCTTGGTGGGCCCGGGCTGGATTTGAACCCACCACCTTAGGTGTATGTGGCTGGCGCCTTAGCCACTTGAGCCACAGGTGCCGAGCCCCCTTCCTGCTTTTTTAATAACAGCTTTATTGGTGTATGATTTATTCCATGCAATTCATTCACTTAAACTATGTAATTCAGTTTTTTTAAATGTACTTACATAGTGGTGTAGTCATCACCACTAGAATATGCCATCACCCCAAAAGAAGCCCAGTATCCGTCAGCAGTTATCCTCATCCCCTCCACCAGCCCTTGACAACCATGAATCCACGTCCCATCCCTGTGGATCTGCCTGTTCTGGACATTTCACATAAATGGAATCTCACACTGTATGTCCTTCTGTGTTTGGCTTCTTTCACTGAGCACCATGTCTTCAAGGTCCATCATCATTGTGGCCTATGTCAGAGCCTCTTTCCTTTTTATGGCTAAGTTATATCTCATCATGTGGGTGGACCATGTTGTGTTGTCCATTTTCTCGTCAGCAGAAGTTGGGGTTGATTTTAACTATTTGTCTGCTAGGAGCAGAACTGCTGTGACTGTTGTGTACAACTGTTTATGTGGACATATGTTTCTGTTTTCCTCACTTGTACCCTAAGAGTGGGGTTGCTGGCATCTGCCCTTCTGAGAGATGCCAGATGGTTACCCAGCATCTACCCCATGGACAGCTCACCAGCTGTGCTCCCACCAGTGCCTGCTGGTGGCCTTCCTTGGTCCTTCCAGCTGAGGATCTCTGTGTTTAGTTTTAGTAGAACTGTTTTCAGAGTCTTCTAACTCAACCCCAGAGATTTGGCCTGGGCTAACACTTGGCATAGGACTCTGTGGTTTAAATTAATCCATTTACTTTAAGGCTCCAGTCAATCAGCCAGATTGTGATGTGTCTCTGATTTGGGCCTTGTCTTTCTAACTTCAGCCCAGATCTTTTATTTTTATTTTTATTTTTGAGACAGAGCCTCAAGCTGTCCCCCTGGTAGAGTGCAATGGCATCACAGCTCACAGCAACCTCCAACTCCTGGGCTCAAGCAAGTCTCCTGCCTCTGCCTCCCAAGTAGCTGGGACCACAAGCGCCCGCCGCAATGCCTGGCTATTTTTTGGTTGCAGCCATCATTGTTGTTTGGCGGGCCCGGGCTGGATTTGAACCCACCACCTTCGGTGTATGTGGCTGGTGCTTTAGCCACTTGAGCCATAGGTGCCGAGCCATTCAGCCCAGATCTTCAGGGTCCGTACCAGGCCTTGGCATAAGACCGCATGTGTGGGGTTCTGTGAGGCTCTTGCCCTCTAGGTCTTGGCTTGGCAACTTGCTGCTTGCCCTCTGCAATCTCTTCCTGCCCTGGGTTCTTATTTGGGTCCTAGATCTCATCAACATCTAGAACTGGGACCTGCAAACTGCAGCCTGTTTCTGTCAGTAAAGTTTGATTGGTTGACATGTTGCCCATTGCTTGTGTCAAGTTTGGCTGTAAGGGCACAGTTGAGTAGTTGAGACAGAGTCCATGTGGCCTATAAAGCTGATCTAGAAGTATAATCAATGGGATTTTCTGGGAATGATGTCCATGTATCCAAGTACCCCAGGTACCTGTCCCTGCCCAGATTGGAGGAGAGGGGGTGAGTAGCAGGCTGGAGATGGTGTTGGGACTAGCGCAGTGCTCAGGAGGAGACAGTTGAGGTCTCTGTGGCCCAGGAGAGCCAGACAAGCATTCCTTGTTCCCACGTGGGTTCCACTTAGGTGTGTTTATTCCCCAGTCTATCAGTCAAGCTGTGGTTGGCTTGAGCACCTTGAGGACAGGTACATGGAGCTGCAGAGAGGGAACCAACTGTCTGCCCAGAGGGTCTGCCCCTGAGTAGTATGTGTGACTGCGTGTGTGTGGTTGTCCTTCTTCCTTTGTGATAGGGCAGATGGCAGCTAAGCCTCAGTGTCCTGGCCTTGTCTGTAAACTTGGAGTCTGGTGCTGCCCACTGCCCAGGGCTCTATGAAGGTCTGAATGCCTCTTGCATGTGGGGATGTCGTGTTTACTGTCAGGTACCAGTGGCTTGGGGGCCTCACACTGTCCTTAGTGTTAAGTGTGGTGTCTGCACTTGATAGTTTTAAGTGTTCGTGGGACAGAAGAGCAAAGTTGCACTGGACAGGAAACAAGCCCTGGAGTCACATGCTGTAGGTGTTAGTTGCCAGCTGGGCTACTAGTTAGCAGTACTGAGACTCATCTTCCCATCTCCTGGTGTCTGCACAGCAGTGATGGTCACCCCACCCGTGGTGCTGCCATTGCCTTCTGTTCTGTCGTTGTGGTTAGGGCTGAGGTTCCCTATCTTGGGTCTTTCCCCACTTTAAGGAGCACACTAGTTCATGAGTGTGGTTGTTTCCAGTCCCCTGGCTCCTTCCCTTTGAGAAGGAGGAGAAGCTTTTCTTTGTTTCACTGGTGGACTTTGCTTTTGGGGACCTTGTCTGGAAGAATTGTCCCTACCAGTGGGCCTTGGCCCTTTCTGACACGTGTTCACTCCAAACTGGAGCCAGTGACTCTGACTGCACGGTTGGCAAAATGCTATCAGGCTGAAACCTGGACATAGGGCTTGGTGTAGCTTTGGGCGTGTGGGCATAGCCCTGCCTGGCCAGGCCCCTGGTGAGCTTGTGGCTTCTTCCTCCTTCTGCCCTTGCAGGCCAATGCACTCCTGATCCGGGAGGTGGATGTGGAAAAGGTGACAACATTTGAGCATCAGTATGTCAATGCCATCAAGACTCTGTGGAATGACCCCGGCATCCAGGAGTGCTATGATCGGAGGCGGGAATACCAGCTCTCGGACTCTGCCAAGTAGTAAGTGCAGACAGCAGGAATGGGGCAGCCTTTCTGGGGGCCTATCCCAGCCCCTGCCACCCTTCCCCAGCCCTGTGTGCACATGGTAGTCTTGACCATCTTGCTGGACAGGGCAGAGTTGAGCAAATCCTGGAGAGGGCAAATACTAGATTCTGTGTTCACCTGGCCCTGCCACCTCTCCCAGGGTCCTTCCTGAGTTCCTTGTCATCCTCAGTGTTGGAAGCCAGCATGTGGTTGGGAGGGGTGGCCAGATATATGGTCCCTTAGGAGGGCTGGTGGAATGAGGGGGTGGGCATACCCCGCCTGTCTCAGTCCTGTCTACTGTATGTCTCCCAGGGCCACATTACTCACCTGTGAATGGGGTCCTCTTCACATCCTGGCCTGGGACAAGGGGGTGACTTGTGCTTTAATGGGTGGCCAGGGCCATGATTATGTGCTGAGGTTCCGGCAGTAAGGCTGTGTGCTGCTTTCCTTCTTGGTCTGATGGGAGGGACAGGGGCCAGCCTGTTCTGTTGCCTCCTGCCCATTCTCCTCGTGTTAACTCCTCTAGGAGTTTGTGGCAGAGCCCAGAGGCCTGTGGAGATGTGATGACTGTCTTATGGGGTCCTAGTTGGGCCTTGAGGCATGAGGGGAAACTGAGGAAGCCCAAATCACTGTTTCATTAATCGTGGTGTATACCACACCCCTGTGCGGTGTGAGCAATGGGGAAATTGGTGCCTGTGGGAATTTTCTATATTTATAACTTTCTGTAAATCTAAAACTATTCTAAAATGATAACAAAATAATCTACAAAAAGAAGTCACTCCTCAAATCCAGCCACGCCTGTGTTTGGAACCCTTGTGTTCTTTCACTTTTTCCCTTTTGGACTGTTTTTGGGTAGCTTTATACAAGATCCCAAAACCAGCTGAAGTCTGTGGCCCAGGAGTGTTTTTCTTTGTTTCGTTTTGTTTTGTTTTTTTGTTCTGGGTCATTTCTGTCCCTCAAGACTCTGGGAATGAACCTACTCTCTCTGGTCCAGGATAGAGGTTGGCAGCCCCTGTCCTGATCCCTAGTCTTATCCTCTGTGCTTGGGCCCCTGCCCTCCCCGGCAGGCTGGCCTGACAGCCCTGCCTGCTGTGTCGCAGCTACCTAACTGATGTGGACCGCATTGCCACCTCGGGCTACTTGCCCACCCAGCAGGACGTGCTGCGGGTGCGCGTGCCCACCACGGGCATCATCGAGTACCCTTTCGATCTGGAGAACATCATCTTCAGGTATGCACTGAGCAGGGTGAGGTGGGGCACTGTGTCCCTAGATATGGGGATGGGTGTGGGTGGGAGCAGAAGGCTTATTGGTCCTCAGGGAGTGGGTGACCCAGGACAGGAGATAAGATTTGTCAGTAAGTGGCTTTGATCTGGGCACATGTAGAAAGAGGACATGGCCACAGCAGATGGGAGCAGGGGCAGGCACCTGGTGGGGTGGGTGGTTTGGAGCCCCTGCCAGAGCAGGGGTGCTATGGAAGGGGTGGGTTTTAGACCAAAGGCTGAGGCAACATGTGGTTTTGGTATAGAACCTGGGGCATGCCCATGCCACGCCTGCTGGGCTTAGGTCCAAGGGCTGGACTGCAAGATGGAGGAATTTTCCCTGGAGACCTTGTCAGCCCCATGCTTATCAGGTTGCATGGCTGGAGTGGTCTCAGAGCTGTCCCCTAGAACATGGCCCCACTTGTGTGGGCTCTCACCCACCAGGTGAAGTTTCCAGCTGGAGGCAGGGGGTCAGGGTTCAGAGCTTGCCAAGTACCAAGGCCAAGTGCATGCATGTCTTGGGGCTACCATGAGAGCAGCACAGACTGGGCAGCTTAAACAGCAGGCATTTATTATCTCAATTCTGAAGGGCAGAAGTCTGAGATAAAGGTGTGGGCAGGACAGGCCCTCCTGAGACTGTGAGGAAGGGTCTGTCCCAGGCCTAGGAGTTCCTTGTAGAAACATCATCCTGGGGCGGTGCCTGTGGCTCAGTGAGTAGACTGCTGGCCTATATACTGAGGGTGGTGGGTTCAAACCCAGCTCTGGCCAAACTGCAATAACAATAAAAAAAAAATAGATGGGCGTTGTAGCAGGCGCCTGTAGTCCTAGCTACTCGGGAGGCTGAGGCAAGAGAATCGCCTAAGCCCAGGAGTTGGAGGTTGCTGTGAGCTGTGACACCGTAGCACTCTACAGAGAGTTAGTAAGTGAAACTCTGTCTCAAAAAAAAAACCAAAGAAAGAAACATAACCCTGGCCTTAGCCTTCGTCTTCATGGGTATTCTCCCCATCTACCAGTTACATTGGATTTGGGGCCGTCCCTAGTCTAGTCTCATGCCATCTTCACTAATTATTTTCAAATCAGACCCTATTCCAAAGTTCCAGGTGGATGTGAGTGTTTGGGACATTAACCACCTCTGTCCTCCCAGGCACAGGCTTTGGCTGGGGGCTACTTACCTACTGCACTTGTACTTGATGCCTGTGTGGGTAGTGCCTGTTTCGAGTGCTTTCTCCTTAAGCACAGGCTTACTGTGGCACTGACTTTGGTTGGGGAAGAAATGATACCTCTCAATTGGTGTCTAGGGAGCACTGGCTGCAGCTCAGTGGGGAAAGCCTGTGGGGCATTCCCTGCTCAGGCCAGGAGAGAAGGAGGAGTTGTGCCATTTCCCTCACTCTGTGCCCTGTCCTTATTCTCAGTGGCCAGGCTTCTGTCCAGTCACTGAGTGCTTCCTCTAACCCCAACAGGCATCCTAGACCATCAGAAGTTGGCGTGTACTTGCTATGTATGCGTGATGGTGTATTTTCTGAGAATTCAGGTTTTAGTTTTCTTTTTTATTCTCATGGGGCCAGTGACCCCAGAGGGATCCAGCTGAGGCCAGGTGTTGCAAGACAGGGGAATGGCATGATGCCACTTCAGCTCATGGCTTAGGGTCCCACTGATACCACCTCAGCCTGGGCCTTCTGTGTCCTCTCCTGGGAATGTTCTGTCCCTTCCCTGAGCTCAGGTGGGGATACAGAGCTTTGTTGTAGGCCCCACTGCTCTGCCATGGTTGTTCCTTTGTTAGCTGCCTCTTGCCATCCATGAGCCAGGAGAGGGCAGGCAGGGCCTAGGGCTGAGCTCCTGGCTCAGTACTCCAATTGGAGGCATCAAATGGTGTCATGATTGTCCCAGTGCATGAGAGGAGGAGTCTGGCCCACTCTGTTGGTGGCCATGGTGTGCTGCTGGAGGCCTTGTGGTCCAGAAAGCCTGTAGCCCCTATGCTGTTAGCACAGTGGTCTTCCTGACTGGCTGCAGCTGTTGGTGTGGCCTGGCATCTGATCACCACCCTCTTTTCCCTTAAGAGTTACCCTAGTACATCCACTGTCTACCTGTGTTTCCTGGACTTTGCTCTTTAGACCATGGCTAGGTAGATTCCTGCTACTCGCCATGTCCTAGGCGGTCCTAGTGTCCTATAGATGAAGCACTGTGGGCTTCTGTCTGGGCCCTGCCTCTACGTGGCTGAGGCCTAAGGGACACTCTCCTTTTCTGCCTTTGTATTTTTTTTTTTTTTTGGCAGTTTTTGGCTGGGGCTGGGTTTGAACCTGCCACCTCCGGCATATGGGGCTGGCGCCCTACTCCTTTGAGCCATAGGTGCCGCCCTCTGCCTTTGTATTTTTTCAAGAAAAATGCAGTTCTTCCTTGATCATAGAACACTTACAAAATTCATGCTGGGCAAGGTGGCTCACGCCTGTAATCCTAGCATTCTGGGAGGCTAAGGTGGGTGGATCGCTGGAGTTCATGAGTTCATGACCAGCCTAAGTAAGAGCAAGACCCTGTGTCTACTAAAAATAGAAAAATTAGCCAGGCATTGTGGCAGGCACCTGTAATCCCAGCTATTCAGGAGGCTGAGGCAAGAGGATCTCTTGTGCCTAAGAGTTTGAGGTTGCTGTGAGCTATGATGCGACAGCACTCTACACAGGGTGATAGAATGAGAGTTTATATCCTTTCACTCACCCCTTTTGTTTCTGCACCTGAGGCTGTTGCCTTTTTTTTTTTTTTTTTTTTTGAGATAGGGAAAGGGCTTGTTTGGTATAGCCAGGGGAGTGGGCTGGGCTGTCCCCCATGGCTGAGTCCTCTGTGTGCTGTGTCCTTTCAGAATGGTAGATGTTGGAGGACAGAGGTCGGAGCGGAGGAAGTGGATCCACTGCTTTGAGAATGTGACGTCCATCATGTTTCTTGTGGCCCTCAGTGAATACGACCAAGTCCTAGTGGAGTCAGACAATGAGGTAGGCACTGCCCCTGGTCAGGGTGAACTTGGGGAGTTAGCCTTCCCTCTGCAGGGTCATGCTCCTGTGTCAAGAATGTGCTGGGGCTGGGCCGGGCCAAGGGCCTCCCTAGCTGCTGAGTCCCGGTGGACAGGTGCAGTAGTAGAGAGTATAAGCATGCAGGGCTGGAGCGGTGTAGGGTATAGGGTGCAGGGATAGGTGGTAGAGGCTGTAGGGTATAGTGGAGGTATGGATGGTGCAGGTTGGAGGGAGCAGGGGAGAGGCACAGGGTAAGGGGTGGAGGGATGCAGGGTACCTCATTGTGATGCCCTCTGAGGGCACAGCTATGTCTCTAGTGCCACCTTCCTTCCCTTTCCAGAACCGCATGGAGGAAAGCAAAGCCCTCTTCCGGACCATCATCACGTACCCTTGGTTCCAGAATTCCTCCGTCATCCTCTTCCTCAACAAGAAGGACCTGTTGGAGGACAAGATCCTACACTCCCACCTGGTGGACTACTTCCCCGAGTTCGATGGTGTGGCCTGCTCCCTGGGAGAGGGTCACGGGAGGGTCCACAGAACCAGGGCACGGGGGCAGTTGTCCCATAGTCAACTACCTCATCCCACAGGGCTGTGCCAGGGCAGGGCCAAGCCCTGGAGTCTCCACATGCTGAACTCCCCTAGATCATAAGGCTTGGCCTAGGGAGAGTATTGCCTGGCCCTTGGCTGGCATGGGTGTTATGCACTAGTGGTGTGACCACTGAGCACTGCTTTTGAATCCATGTCTAGCCCACCTCTCCTTCACACCTGAGCCTTTGAATTCAGGTGTCACCCACCTTTAGGGGGTACCTTTTTGGGGAACCTGTGCAGGGTGGTGGGCATGGCCTGCAGTCTGAGGGTGAAGAAGCCAGGCAGGTGGTGGGTGGCTATTAGGGGAGGGGCATGTGAGAGTGAGGAAGGTGGTGGTAGCCCCTGGCGGATACCACAGGGTGGGCAGGGCAATGCGGCTGAGCCAGTAGATGGGCTGCTGGGCTGACAGAGGGGCCAGCTGGGGTTACAAGTCATGTGATTTTGGGGTAGGGGAGAGGGCCCAGCTCATTCAAGATAGGGTATCCTGTGTGGCCAAGGCCCTGTTTGCAGAGCGTGGGCCTTGGTAGGCTCTGGTCCAGGCCAGCCTTGCTCATCCCTCCCTCCCCCAGGGCCACAACGGGATGCACAGGCTGCTCGGGAGTTCATCCTGAAGATGTTTGTGGACCTGAACCCTGACAGTGACAAGATCATCTACTCGCACTTTACCTGCGCCACCGACACGGAGAACATCCGCTTTGTCTTCGCAGCTGTGAAGGACACCATCCTGCAGCTCAATCTGAAGGAGTACAACCTGGTGTGACCCAGAGGTGGGGGCGTGAGCAGGGATGGACCTTGGCATGCCGCGGGCAGCTGCACCTCCTGGGCGGCCCTGTTTCGGATTCCGGGGCTCTGCCCACAGGAGGAGGTTTTTTTTGTTTTTTGTTTTTTTTTTGTTCATATTTTTAACAAATGGTTTTTATTTCACAGTATCAGGGGATATACATCTTTCTCTCTATACACTTCGTGCACCTTCTCACCTTTTGTCAGCGGCAAAGGCAGCCTTTTTCTGGCCTTGACTTGTGGCTCGCTTTTTTCTAAAAAAAAAAAAAAAAGAAAAGAAAAAAAAAACTGAAACAGATGAAACATGTGTGCCCCATGTTCCCAGCCACTCCAGACCTCATCTGGCCCCCACCAGCCGTAACCGGCCCACCACCCCAAGACCCCTGGTGGCGCCAGGCACCCCCAGGGCTGTGCTCGGACTCTGGGGTGCCTTTTCTCTTTCCCCTCTTTTTTTCTTCCTAATCATGAAAGACGTGGAGACTGACTTCCTTTTCCTTTTTTTAAGTTATTGACGTCCTGTGCATCCTGCATCCTCACAACTTATGCCATGTTGTTGCTCACTGGACTCCAAGAAGAGGGGGTGGGTGGCTACTGGTTGCCCACCCTGGGAAGTGCCTAATCATTTTTTTTTTTCTTGTGGAAAAAAATAATATGCCAGGCTCCACAGTTGGAGTCTGTTGTGGGCCAGGGAGGGTCCCCTGTGCTAGGGCTATGGGACTTTGGGGTCTGCCCGGTTGCCTTTTCCAGGGCCAAAGTCTAGCCAGCTTGGGGCTCTCTTGGGAGCTCCTAGGGGCTGTATAGCCACCACCTCGCTGGAGTTTTCCACAGGAGCCTGAGCTTTTCGGGCTGCAAAGGGAGGGCAGCTGGAGGGATGGGTCCTATGTGGTTCTGAGAGAAAGGCTATTGGGTGGGGGACATTGGTGTTTGTTTTGTTATGTTTTGTGTTGTTGGAAAACAATTTGGAAACAGTGAGGATGAGGTGGGGACTTTTACAGAATATTCTCAGGTCTGTCCCCGAGAATCAGAGAAAGGAGGGGACGCTGCCAGCAGTTCTGTGTGTGGCCTTGTCCCGAGCACTTGTTCCCGCTCTGGAGCCACCGTCCCCAGTATGCGGGATGCCAGCACTTGCACTTTGGTCAGCAGCATGTGGAAGGTGATGGCTGACACCTGGGTCCTGGGCAGCTCCAGGCCTGATTGGCCATGGCCACGCACTGAGCCATACTCCCCTGGACTCCTCTGAGCATCAAGATGGATTCTCCCTGAGTGACTGAAGGCAGGGGATGAGGGGGGGCAGTTTGGACGTGGGAGAGGTGGCTTCTCATCTGTTGTAGACTGAACACTACACTGTTTTTGTTTTGTTGGTTTGGGGTTTTTTGCACAGTTGTACCGGGAATGGATCGCAAGTGATGCCTTTGCCCCAACCGCTATGACATTGGGACCCTGTGTGGCTGCTGTTTCTTTGGGCCTCTGATGAGCTACAGAAGCGACACATAAATCAAACCAAGCCCAATAAGCAGTTCTGGGCCCCCTGTGCTCTCAGGGCTCCCTCCCTGCAGGGTGTCTGCTGGTGTCACTAGAAAAGAGGGAGCCTGGTAGGGTGGGGCAGCGGCATTCCTGGTGTGGGCTCTGCTAGAGGCAGAGGGGGCTGTGGGGACTCTAGCTTCACTAGCTTTCCTCCTGTCCCTCCCAGAGGCAACCTTTTTGTGCCACATGTCTACCTGAGAACAGTGTTTGTGGTGTAAACCCCCTACGGTGAGGGTGGGGCAGGCAGGTGGCACCTGGGGGGAGCAGATGGGGCTTCCCCTATGGTGGCCACTGTGTCCATTGCTGGCAGTGGACCTGCCCTTGGGGCCTTGAGGTCCTCACATAGTAGGTGTCTCAGCATCTCTAAAGGGGTCCAGATCACAAAAAGGGAACTGGACTTGGCCAGAGGGAAGAGTTGCTCAGCATGCAGGCATGGGGCAGCCTGAGCTGGTCAAAGTATTAGCTCTCCTGGAGGGGGATGGTGTGCCAAGTATTCCAGAGCCCAGAGTGCCTGATCCCCCAGAGCAGAGGGCAGTGCCATGGCCTTGGGATGGGGCTGTTGCCCCAGGAGAGTCCCAGACAGTAGTTCTTGTGCCAGTGCCACCCTTACCCACATTCCACTGGCCTTGGGCCATGGGCAGCTGCCCGTGTGGGTGTCTATTCCTTGGTGAATCTCTCCTCCATAAACGCTTTCTCAGAGTGCCGACCTCCTCCTTGACTGTCACATCCAGGTGGCAGCAGACCCCAGCCAGAGTAAGGCCCATACCCTGGGCGCCCAGGCTCCCCCAGAGAGGCCTCCTAGTGCCAGTGTCCCCGGAGGTGGCCACAGCCCGTAGGGCCAGCCCGGTGGATATGATCCAGTGATACTTGTATATTACACACAGTCCTGATTTCAGACAATTAAACCTTAACCTATTTAAAAGAGAATATTCTATAAAAAGCTGTTTTTAGACCTTTGTCATTTGAAATGCATGCATGTTGTACTGGGGAGGGAGGGAGGACTGGGCGTGCAGATCAGCGTGATGCCAGCGTCCTGGGGCCTGTAGGCCCTGACCCTTAATCCAGAGATGCCTGATGGAAATCAATTTTTCATATCTTTCTCCTGAAATGAATTCTGTTTTAAATTGGAATAAATTTTGTTCCTAAACCATGTGGCTCCCTTTTGGTTTATTTCCTGTTGCCAGCTGCAGGGGTGGGGTGGGAAGGTGCTGAGGTCTGGCCCCACCAGGAGCCCTGGAGGCCCCAAGAGCATCACCTGCTGCCCCCCACTGGTGGTGGCACAGAACCCTAGAGACCCTGCTCAGAGGTCATCTTTTGTTTTTTACAGTTTTTGGCTGGGGTCGGGTTTGAACCTACCACCCCCGTCATATGGGGCTGGTGCCCTACTCCTTGAGCCACAGGGACCACCCTCAGAGGTCATCTTGTTAGGCTCTAACTTGAAGTTCATTTGGCTAATATCTGGCTAGAGCATCCTGCTTGGTAAATGCCACCTTGTTTGTGAGCAGGGGGATGAGATTAGGGAGGAGACCCCAGATTCTGGGCCAGTGTGCCACTCGGTATCTAGGGTATTTGTGGGAAGTTAAACCCAGAGTGTCCCTGGAGGTGGCCACAGCCCGTAGGGGCAGCCGGGGGGATGTGATCCAGTGATACGTGTATATTACACACAGTCCTGATTTCAGACAATTAAACCTTAACCTATTTAAAAGAGAATATTCTATAAAAAGCTGTTTTTCTGTAAACCAGGAGTTTTGGCCTGTGCAGCCTTCCTTCAGTTGTTACTATTTTTGAAGATCAGCTGACTTTAAGATCCATCTTTTTTTTTCTTTTAAAAAAATTTGTACTTGTGGTAAAATACACATAAGTTTCTAAGTTTACAGCTCAGTGGCACTAAGTACATTCATATTGCTGTGCAACTGTCACCACCCTCCATCTCCAGAACTTTCTCACTCTCCCAAACAGATGCTGTGTCCCCATGAAACACTAACGCCCCACCCATCCTCAGCCCCTGGCACCTACCTTTCTACTTTTTGTCTCTGTGACTCTGAGGACTCTAGGGACCTCCTATTAATCACACAGGATTTGTCCTGTGTCTGGCTTCTCTCACTGAGCATGATGTCCTCAAGGTCCATCCACATTGTAGCCTGTGTCAGAGGCTCATTCCTTTTCATGGCTGAGTGATATTCCGGTGTGTGGATGGACTATGTTGCTTCCACCTTTTGGCTGTTGTGAATGCAGCTGATGTTGAGGGTGGTGTGCAAGTATTTCTTCATGACACTGATTTCAATCCTTTGAGGTTTTATTTGTGCATACGGAAGTAAAATCGCTGGGTCCTATGGAAGTTCTTTTTGCAATTCTTGGTAGGATCCATCAGTTTCCTGCAGCGGCCACACTCCAGCTGGTAGCACATGAGGGTTCCAACTTCTCCACATGACTTATTCATAAGTTAAATAGGCCTTAAGGGCCCTCTCTGGGCCAGGCACTCTCCTGCATGTCACCATACAGTGAAGGAGGTGGTATTTATCACCATGACTTCAGCTGTTAAGAGAAACAGCAGGGAGCAGCTCAGGATGGGGTGATGGTGGTCATTTTAGTGGGGTTGTTCAGGAAGTGCTCTGAGAAGGTGGCATCCAAGTAAGATCCTAGGAGACAAAAAGGGGAAGGAGCCACACTATTAGCTGAGGGAGGGTGTTCCAGGCAGGGGCACAGCCCCCTGCAAAGGCACTGGGGCAGGAGGCACAGTGAAGAGGCCTGTGTGGGTGGAGCAGAATGGGGGGGGGAGGGAGGAGGGCGAGGCAGGGCGGGGACTGGACAGGTTGTGCCACCCAAGAGGACTTGGGCTTTGAGCCTGAGGGAGGTGGGAGTCATGGAGGGACAGAGGAGCATCCTTAGGCACTCATAGGCACCCTCTGGTGGCAGCTTCAGGGAGGACATACTGGGGAGGATGGGGGCAGGAGCCACTGGGGACAGAGTAAAGGGGACTGGGTGGTCTAGGTGGGCAATGACTAGGTAGCAGGAACACCAGTAAGGGTGTTGGGGTGCTAAGGAAGCTGCCTGACTTGCATGTTACAGGTGGGTGCGGTGCCTCCCAACATCCAGCAGGTGTCGCCTGAGGCAGCCCCTCTGCTGTCCCACATCCTCTGGGCTTCCTTGCCCTGGCATTCAGGGGCTTTAAATCACATCCACCACATCGAATAGATTTATGTGGGTTTTTTTGTGTGGGGTTTTTTTTTTTTTTGAGACAGAGACTCCCTTATCACCCTTGATAGAGTGCTCTGGCATCATAGCTCACAGCAACCTCAAATTCGTGGGCTCAAGCGATTCTCCTGGCTTAGCCACCCAAGTAGCTGGGACTACAGGCACCCACCACAATGCCCGGCTATTTTTAGAGACAGGGTCTCGCTCTTGCTCAGGCTGGTCTCCAACCTGTGAGCTCAGGCAATCCACCTGCCTCGGCCTCTCAGTGGGCTAGGATTACAGGCAAAAACCACTGCACCCAGCCCACCACATCAAATAGAATAGAGATATCTATTAAAGAAACTAAGTTCTTTTTTTTTGAGACAGAGCC